GCTGACCGTGGTGCCAAGTAAACTAAAACTGTTAATTATCTCAATCTCTTCACCATCCATACTGATGCTGCCAATTGGCCCAGTGGTTAGAATCTTTGTTTTCTTGATGTTGAGCTTCAGTTCATATAGGAGGCTGTAGTCCTTGATCTTCTGCAGCAAGCGCTTCAGGTCCTTCTCCGTTTCAGCAAGCAGAATTGTGTCATCTGCATAACGCAGGTTGTTGAGGATTCTTCCAACAATCCTGATGCCACATTCCTCTTCGTATAGCCCAGCGTCTCGGATGATCTGTTCTGCATATAGATTGAAAAGGTATGGAGACAGAATACATCCACGACAAACCCCATTCTTGCTTTTGAACCATGTAGTGTCTCCTTACTCTGTTCTGACAACGGCCTCTTGGTCCGAGTATAAGTTTTGCATTAGCACAATCAAATGTTCTGGGTTTCCCATTCTTCTCAGAGTCAACCACAGCTTATTGTGATCCACACAATAATACACAATACTGGAGAGTATTGGACACAATTCCCCTGTGAAGCCACAAACTGCCAGAGAGGCTTGCCCTTTTCCCCTCTTTATCCTACAAAGACCAGAAAATTCCCCTTTTGAGTGTTGACCTTTATAAATGCATGACCATAAGGTGCCTTTGCTGAAGGAAACTGATGATAAGAGAGTCTTAGCCTAAGGACCAAGGATTAAGACTAGACAGAAGCCAAGTTTTTGACACAATTTTGAACAATAGTAGTAGTTTTAGTACAATAGTAGTTTGGAACAATATAGACATCTTGACTTTGAGTAGAAACAAGACAGGAAATTGCTTTTGTTCTATTCCTGAGAACTATCTTGGTGCTGAATTTGTGGGTGACAGCTGAGTATTCTGGTGTATTTTTTTTTAACTTTCCCCCTGAAATTTTGAAACTGGAAGAGATCCAGGTTAAGGAGGGAGGTGGGGAAACCCAAAGTAGCAGTTGTCAGAGTACAGGTTCTTCACTGAGTCCAGTGTGAGGAAAGCCTAGGAGTAGGCACATTATGGATTCTCTGTCTATCTCACTCTGATAGTTCTTCCCTAATCCTTTGATGTATGTGTTGTTGCAAAGACAGGAATTTTACTGGATCAAAACAAACTTTCCATTACTTATGTTCCTTTTCTTACTTTTCTTCTTACTGTCACTATTTTCATGTTGATAACATTCAAAGCCTATCATGGAGCTCTGGTGGCTTAATGGCACTCTGGTGGTCTAGTGGTAGGAAGCTGCACTGCAATCCCAAAGGTATGCAGTTGGAATCCACCAGCTGCTCCAGGGGGAGAATGATGGGCAATCTCCTGTGTGATTTACAGCCTCTGAAAACCCACTTGAGGGTCAGCTATGAGTAAGTTCCTCTACAGTAGCATATAACAACCACAACAACAATAACAATACTATTATGTGATGGGAGTATACTAAGGCACTATCGATGTAGAATCTAACATTTAGAGACTTGGCTCTTAAAATGATTGTACCTTACAAGGGGGACACCTGCCACCTTCCATTTCCTAGACGTACACAGACAAAAGACAACTTAGATGAATCCATTATTTATTTTTTATTTATTTCTCAATAGTTATTGATGATTTGCTAAGCTCTTAATTGAAAGTTAATTATTATTAATAAAAGAAAAAAAAGAGTGAAAACCAAGTGGACATGCACTCACTTTATTTCATTCTGTTATTAGGAAATAGTGGATCTTTCAAGGGGTTTTCTGAGATTAAAAACAAAAAGGGAGTTGGATTTTATAGTGTAAAAAATGGAGTTCTCCCATAATATGGTGTTTGATTTACACTTTGTGCCATTTCATAAGCAAAAGTAAAAGGTAGAAGAAATTGCAGATAGGGGAAGAAAGTGGTGAAAAGGACAAGAAATGAGAGGAGAAAAAACCCAATAGTTGTAGAAATACCTAGTACAACCCTTGAGATTTTCTTGTGTAGTGTGGTTGAGCGTTCCCTGCTTTGTGGAGATTTCATCAGGAGAATTGGAGACAGAGAAACTAATATTACTGTTTTAGATGGTCATGAAATCCAAGATAATTTAGTGCTGATAACACTTTCTGTCATTTCTTCCAAAGGCCTCTCCTCCTGATGGGATAGTTGAGTCTGAACTAGAAGGTAAAGCTGCCCTTCCTAGATAACATCCTCTTTAGAGCTGCTTTCACATCTTGGTTTTTCAGACTATAGATGAGAGGGTTTAGCAGTGGTGTCACCACACTGTATTGTACAGAGAGCACTTGCTCCAAGACTGAGCCAGATGACGGAGTCATGTACCTGGAAGGGAATTGCACAAAGGAGTAAACTAAGATTTGGACAACAGTCACAATGATATTGACAACAAAGGATGCTCTACAAAGGAATCTTTAGAGCTGTGTCCTTTGTGGAAGTATTTAGCAATGACTATATGGTCAGTGAGAAGTCAATTATTTCTGTCTTTAAATTGTCTCCAAACATTAGAGAATTAATGCGAAAACTTATAGAAACTGTTCTGTAGGATATATCAAAGGCTGCAAGGTAGAATAGAACTAATAGCACTAATTTCATGACTTCATGCATGTTCTTTAAAACATTTTCCCATAATAGATGTGATGATAATGTGGAGTTTCCTTCCCTCTCTCCTACTACATATACAACTGCCCAGACATACTATTGCTGTTGTCTTGTGATGACTGCTCTTACAGCATTAAATATTAGTTCTGATGATGCTGCCACTTCTCCCAATATTTGTAGCTCTGGAAATTACCGTTAGAGAAATAGCTCATTATTTAAAAATGCTGAGCAGAGCAAACACTTGTTCTTTTCATTTTGGTAAAAAAATCATTCTTTCTTTGAAGCCAAAACTGAAATAATGAAAGATAAAAATATGTTTGTAAGATATGAGTCCAAAATAATGAGCTCAACTTTTGGGTTGCTGTTATGTATCATCAAGTTGGAACAGACTCATAGCTGACCCTCTAGCAGGTTTGCAGAGATAATGAATCACAAGGAAGGAGACTGACCATCTTTCTCCTGTGGAGCAGCTGCCGGATTAAAACTGTGTTCCTTTGGGTTGGCGGACCAAATCCTTACCAGTAAACCATCAGAGCTCCCTAAATGCTCTTTCACATAGAAACTATTTAAAGAGAAGCATTATAATAGATATTATAAGTAATTGTATATGTGTTTGTGTGTGCGCGCGCACACACACACACACACACACTTCTGTGCAATGACATCGTCATTGTTGGACTAAGTATAGACATTCCATAGAATACTCCTTGTGGGTTATAGTGTGTTTGGTAAAAACAGATATTAATTTTATTGTCATTCTTCATTATCTATTATACCCTTTATATCTTATTTGTGGGGTATATAGAATAAATTTTATTATCCTTTTATGGCATATGAAGGAAATGAGACAAAGAATTGAAGAGAATTGTTTGAACTAAGCCTCTGGCTGCTGAGCTCTCATATCAGGTCAGCTGTACTGGACCATTTCTTTTTCTATTCTCTTTAGCATTTTTTTATGTTGTTGGTTTATTTAATCCTTAATGTATGTTTTGTTTTATAACATTAATTACAATTGATCAATGCCGTTTATTACAATATCTCATCAAATCTTCACTTTAGCTTGCCTTTCCCTTCATCCAATCTATCCATTTGCTAATCTCTGTTCCCTTCTGTCTCCTCTAATAGCTGTCCTTGGCTACCCTCCACAGTTGTGTGTATCTCTGTGTAAACCTTTCCTTAGTTCCCCCTGCCATGTCAATTTGTCATGCATATCCTGTTTCAACATTGTTAATTAGAATATGGACAGTGTCAAATCTAGACAATTTCTTCTCATAATTGTTTCCACTTTCTGATATCTCTAAAAGTCATCTTTCTCTAATAGTTAAGATAATAATATGGAGAATTTATTTTCTTCCCCACAGATATGTATAAGAGGTGAGAAAAGTATGAAGTAATTTATGCAAATATATCTCCAGTCCACTTGAAGGAATAGAAATAAATACCTTCAGTTCATTTGTCAAGAGTACAGGCATTAATTATGCACTCTCTTAGTAAAGAAACTTACTTTAGGCATGTTTCCTGGAGGAATCAGTCTTTAGAAAAAGACATTATTCTTGTAAAGGGTAGTGAAAAAGAGGAAGATCTTTAATGAAATTGTCTTGACACAGTGACTGCAACAATGAGCTTGAATATGATGGAGACTGTGACAATGGTATAGGATAGCGCTAGGTCCCCATGCTGTTCACAGGGTCCTATGAGTCATCATCAACTTGACAGTATTCAACAGCAACAAACTCCTCATAAATAAATATTCTTTACCTAGCTCTGTTTAAGTCTGAATGACATTTTCCCAAGAATATGAAATTTGAGATTAATGAGAACTTAGTTCAAATGATAGCTTCCTTACTGGCTTCTTCTTGTGTGACCTTTGTAAAATTATGTCATTACTTCTGAATTTCAGCTTTATTATGTAAAGGAATCAATAATACTAATAATTACAAAGTTTCATCTCACATCCTTTAGACACATTGTTAGGAGAGGCTATTCTTTGGAAAGGGACATGCTTGGAAAGGGTAGACAGTCCGTGAAGGAGAGAAAGACCTTCAGTGAGATGAACTGATACAGTATCTGCAACAATGAGCTCAGATATGTGGGGATAAGAAGGATGGTACACGACAGGACAGGGTTCAGATCTGTTGTTCATAGAGTTGCTGTGAGTTGTGCTCAACTTGACAGCACTTAACAAGAACAACAAGTGTGATACATATTAAAATAGAATTTGACCATTTAAAGATGTTGATATATAATCCAAAATCAAACCCAACCCATTGCCACTGTGTTGTTTCTGATGCATAGTGATTCCATAGGATATAGCAGAACTGCTCCAGAGGATGTCCAATAATGATGCAAACTATTACACATAAAATCTTATTATTTATTAATAATAATAATAATAATACTGATAATTTATGAGTGGATACATGAGTAAATATAAATAGGTTGAACAGGTGTGGGATATCACATGGGAATATATTCATGAGTGTATAGGTTTAGCAGAGGATTTTCTCTATAAGTACTTGCATACACACTGCAAATATATCCAGACATATAGCAGAGCATACAGGGGAAAATGTCACGCAAACTTCTTGGCAAACTTTACAAAAACAGACAGTCTAATCTTTTTCCTACAGAGTGATGGTGGGTTTAATTAACTGAACTTTTAATTGACAATTGAATGTCATAACTACAATATCACCATATAATAGGTTCCTAGTAAATAGGTACCACAAAAGTATGCTCTGGAGGTTCCATATTCCACTGGAAAAGAAGAAGCATCTCTTTCAAGGATGATGTTTTATATTTCTGTCTAGCACTGCATACAAATCTACCAAATTTTGTGATTATTTTTAAAACTCTGATATCATAGGTTATCAAAGGAGAGAAAACTCCTTCCTTGCAATTAACTACCTCTGAAAACCTACCGAAGGGTCAGCTGTGGGTTGGTTCCAACTTGAAGGTACACCACCACCACAACAACAACAACTGCTACCTAGTGGCAAGAAGCTATACTGCAGTCTCAAAGTCATGCAGTTCAAATCCACCAGCTCCTTTGTGGGAGAAAGATGAACAGTCTTCCTGTGTGATAAACTACCTCTGAAAACCCACTGAGGGTCAGCTATGTATTGGTTCCAACTCCATGGTACACAATAAGTCCATTTTAGAGTAGACAAAGGATTCTTTAGCCACACATCTAGTTCAGAGTCCAGACTAGAATTCAAGCTTTCTAAATTCTAGCATAATGATTGTTTTTTATACAACTTGACAATGCTTCTATTCCAAAACCCAAAACCATGTAAGGAGAGACACCCTATATTTATAGTTAGGAGGTTAGTATGACATACCTGAAAAATCCTGAACCATAAAAGATGGTGATCACAAGCAAATGAGAAGAGCATGTGGAGAAGATCTTGCTTCGACCCTTGGCAGAGTTGACTCCCAGAGCAGTCATGATGATACGGATGTAGGAACCTAGCAATGGGATGAGGGTTCCCAGGCCCAGGACCACCATGGTGGTCAAGATACAGGCAATGCTTATGTAAGGGTCAGAACAGGTCAACATGAGCACTGGGGGAACTTCACAGGCAAAACTGTGGATGAGGTTGGGGCCACAGAAGTGCTGTTGAGCTAAGAGGAGGGTATTAATCAGGCTAGCAACCATTCCTATGACCCAGCATGCCACAACCAAGCTGGTACATATTTTCTTGTTCATAGCCACCACATACAACAATGGGTGGCACACAGCCTGGAACCGGTCATAGGCCATGACTGAGAGGAGGCAGGCTTCAGTGGCCCCAGAAAATAAGACCAAGGAGATCTGGGTGAAACATTCAAGGAAGGAAATGGTCTTCCACTTAGAAAAAATGTTCTCCAGGAGTTTCGGCACAATCGTTGAAGAATAGAAAGCATCCAGAAAGGAGAGATGACTTAGGAAGAAGTACATGGGGGTGTGGAGGGGAGGATTAGTACTGATCACCAGAATCATCATCAGATTTCCTGTTATGGTCAAGAGGTAAATCATTAGGAATAACCCAAAGAGTAATATCTGGGCCTGGGGTTTGTTGGATAGCCCCAAGAGAACAAACACAGTGACAGTAGTTATGTTGCTAATAGCCATAGAGACCTCTCCTCTTATAAAAATAGAAAAGAATACTCAAATGAGCACAGTTGGAGAAGAGTCATCATGAAGCATCAAGGCTGTCCCAGGGCTGAACTAGGACAGATGATGTAGTAGAGGCAGTCCTGTCATGCCACATCTCATAAACCCTTTCCAGCTCAGAGGAGTAATCTATTGGCCAAGACGAGAAAGTGGGAAGGAAGAGCATATAGAGTAAGACCTAGAAATAAAAGAGACGAACAGAGATTATTCAAATGGGGGAATAGAAGGAAGGGAGTTGGGAGTAGACTTAGAGTAATGAGAAGGGTTGTTCTTCAGTCCTAAAAGGAACCAAATTTAAGCCATAAGAAAGTTGATTGACATCATAAAATGAACAATGAACTTCTGCTAACTCTCTGGTAACCAGACCATTGTATTTAATGAATGTTAAATTATTGATTGGTGTATTTATTGAGATGCTTGATGGTTTCTGTCAATGTATACTTATAAGTGACTTAATTCTAGGATCTTTAGTTATCTCATTAAATAAAAACCAGTATCAAAAAACCAGGTTATTTCTAAGTTCTGTCCCAATATAGTAACCTTAAATATGGACAAATGAGCTTTTTCTGTTGTTTTTGTTAGTTGTTACAGAGTCTGTTCCAACTCATACTGACCTAACTGCAACAGAATAAAAGAATGTCTGATCTTGTGCTATCCTCAACAATGTTGATAAGTTTGAACCCATTATTGGAGCCTTTGTGTTAACCCAAAACTTTGTTATTTACCACGTACTCACCATTAGAGAGCTCTGGTGGCTTAGTGGTAAGACATTTCTCTGCGAACACAAAGGCATGTGATTTGAATCCACCAGCTGCTTGTGGGAGAAAGATGGACAATCTCCTCCCTGACCTTTACAGCCTCCAAAAACCATTGGAGGGTCATCTATGAGTAGGTTCAGAATTGACAACTGTCAGTTTTGAGTTTTGATACTTTGCTTAGAAGTTATTCCAGGGCCTTTTTATTCCAGAGTTTCTGTGAATGAGTTTGTTCTGATCAGACAGCATATTACAACACATTCATTGTACTGACGGCAGGCAGAGCCTCTCTGCCTTTTCAAATCTACCAGCTTCTTTGCCAAAGAAAGGTGGACAATCTCTTCCCTGCCCTTTACAGCCTCCAAAAAACCACTGGAGGATGATCTATGAGTAGGTTCAGACTTGACAACAACCAGTTTGAATTTGAATTTTGATACTTGGCCAATCATGCTTCTTGGTTATCTTTAGTTCTAAATATAAAATCATTATTCCCTTTTGTGTCACAATAATTTGCTGACTTCGAGGAAGTCTGAGTTGAGAAAGCTTTATTCTGAAGTGAAGGCTGTACATGTAAGCCATTGTGAGACCATCTTAGTCCAGAGTTTCTTTGAATCTAGGATGTCTAAAGGATGTTATAGATGAAATCGCAAGACCTAACATGAGAGCTTGTATTTAACAGACAGAAGTCTGGAAAAATGAAACAGTTTTTAAGATTCATTTGTGAATCTCTCATTGCTTTTCAGTTGGGATTGATTCATAGCTTACCCACAAGTGAGTTTTCAGAGGCCATAAGTTGCTTGGGAGGAAGTTGCCCACATTTTTTCTTTGGAGTTGCTGGAGGATATGAAGAACCAGTGAAATGCCTGCCACGTTTAAGTTAGCAGTGTACCACCCTACAGATTGTTGTTGTTCTTGTTATGTGCTGTTGAGTCACTTGCGACTCATAGCGACCCTATGTACAACAGCCCTAAACTCCGCTCTGTCCTGTGCCAATCGCACTGTCTCTGACACTCCCATCCCAATTATCCCAGTCACTGAATCAATCCACCTCATAGAGGGCCTTCCTCTCTTGTGCTGCACTGTCCCTCCACCCTCCCAAGCATGATGTCCCTCTCCAAGGACCGGTCTCTCCTCACAACATGTCCAAAATATGTTAGACGGAGCCTCAGAATCCTTGCCTCCAAGGAGCCACCCGGTTTTACCCTTTCCAGGACAAATCTGTTTGTTTTCCTAGCAGTCCATGGTATTCTCAATACTCTTCTCCAGCCCTACAGATTACTTCACCAAAAATTCTAAATATGATACACAGATGAAGAACAATTTATTCTCTGGATTCTTAATAGTCCATTTGGATAAAACTAAATCATACTTGAACACATTCCTCTGAACACACAATACTAGGATATTAAAAGCCAATAAAGGGAGATGAGAAAAGATAGAATACATGGCTAAATGGAAGAGAGATCAGGACAGTTTAACATGAACATGTAGAAATGTCTAGAAGAGAGAAAGTGACAGTAACTACCTCTCCTTGATGACTAATTCAGAAGATTATAAATGAGGAACTGATCTCTTTAATGGCTTGTACACTCACAGGTTTCCAGAATGGATAATTTTAGGAGAAGGTGAACTTGAATGAGAATTTGTCTTCATCTGTTTGCTTTAACTAAAAGGTACCTTCAGGACAGATACCTGTGTGGCATCTTTTTTAATACTGGAGCAAAAGCCAAAGGTGGGTGAGGTTCTATGGTCTTCTCTTAGAGGACTCAAGGGTGGAACTGATGAACAAGGGAATATTCCTATAATCTTTCCAGCCAATGAGAAACCTTTACTCTACCTCCAAATAACAGTGACAAGGGGGACTTGATTTCACCTCTAGACTTTGGAGAGTGAAAGAGGCCCTTGGAGAGATTCTTAAGCAGGCAACTATAATGCAGAATGGGTTCTCTAGGGTCAACTACTTCTCCTTTGCATCATTCTTATTTCCATGGTTACATCATAGCATGTTCTACACTAATTTTTCAGATAAAAAGAACAAGTTTAAGGTTTCCTGCTTCTAAACTTAGACTTTCCTTCCTTTATATTTTGTTGTTTTAAATTTTAATTATGACTATAAAGTAAAAACACAGGTAAGATCTCTAGGAGTGAAGTGTGTCATTTCCCTGTTTGAGGGTGTTCCTTGAGACCAGGTAAGGTCAAGAGACCTGAAGGACTCCAGGGAATGCTTGGTCTACAGATATTAGAAGAAATAAGACTTTCCTTCACAACTGATATAAAGAGTGGGCTTTTCCCTAGACTGGGCACCCTGAATTTTGACTTCTAATCTCCTAAACACTAAAAGAATAAATTTCTTTTTGTTAAAAAAAAGATAAGAAAACTAAAAAATATTTTTTT